ACTTTGCAGGCCTCTCAAACTCTTTTTCATAAAAACTGAGGCATGCAGAGGGTTTAGGAGGCCTGCAGAGTGCTTCTGGGGAAACCCAGCCCCCAGGAGCACTTTGCAGGCCTCTCAAACTCTTTTTCATAAAAACTGAGGCATGCAGAGGGTTTAGGAGGCCTGCAGAGTGCAAAAACTTTTTCTTTAAATTTACCTCTTCAAAATCTTGGTGCGTCTTATACTCCGGTGCATCTTATACTCCGAAAAATATGGTAATACAGCACACTTTAAAATACATTTATTCTGTTGAATAGCAAAAACAATTTCTTCATTTTGGCATTCAAGGTTTAAGTTAAAAATAAAATAAAATAAAATAACCATGAATGATAGTTATGTTTGGGTGACCTGTTTTCTTTTGTACTTGTTTCAATGTTTTTCGCAGGGCAGAAGCTGTAACTTTCAATTGGAGTGCTCCATCCCAGGCCTTCCCCAGAATCACACAGCTTTTGGGATTAGCGTCCTATCGCTACCACATTCTGACAGGCCTCACTGTATCAGTTGGAGGTTTAACTGAATCAACAGTAAGGGAATCAAAACTTACTTGCTTGGAACAGTTTTATCACTTAACATACGGAAGGGATATTTTAAGAATATTACTTAAGAGTTAATAATGTTGGCTGCCAATTTCTGGAAGCAAGTTGTTGATCAATAGGAGTACAGGTCTATTAATACAAGTATGAATATGCAAGATGTACTAATATTGTGATTTAATATGCTTGAAGTAGTTTGCTTACAGACTTCTTTTTCATCCTATATCATTGCACACGATAGTAATAATAAGAGAAAACATTCACAAATGTACATTCCTTCTGAAACTAGTACTCCTTTTCCTGAAAATTAAAGACATGCTAATATGGGGCATTTATATTTTTAGATCACATTAAAATCAGTGAGAGTTATTTGTTAATAAGTCTGGTTTTAACGATACAGTTACAAGCTTTATTGTGAGGCTTTGGTTTACAGCAAAAAAAATTTAAAAAAAATTTGGAATACTTTTTAGTGTGATTTTAGCTATTGGTAATGAAGCAGCGCCTAACTAAATTTGGCTAATTGCAAAAACCTAAGCAGGATCTGAATTGGTAAATGTTCAGATTGGAAACCTTCAGAAGAAATTTGAGACCAGTAATATAGAGTGAGGAGAATGAATGAATAAATAAAATTAAATAAACAAATTAAATAAAAAATAAAATTTATAAGAAGCCCGTAGTTAACCATTTCTATATTGTTATCAAGAAAAAACAATCCCACATGTTTGTCACTAGAAGTCAAGTTTGACTGGAGCACAATTTTGATGTACTGCTTTAAGGTAGTGTCAGCATTTTTAATAATCTAGAAACAATGCAGTACTATAATGCAAAAAAGTGTATTTGTCTGCAGCTTGGGTGTCAAACCTGATAGCGTCACAGGCCAAATCATGACATATCGTGACTTTTTTGCCTTTGCAGGACTGGGCTGGGTGTGGCCTGCGCATGACATATCCAGCCCCAGGCCACCAGTTTGACAGGCCTGGTCTACAGGATCAAAACATTTTGTTCCTCACACAGACCAAAAACCCCGAATCATACAGGCTTCAGTTGGAGCGTACACCACCCAAATGAGCTGTTCCTCCTACAGAAGGGTTTGTACATCCTTAATGACTAGCAAAATGTACAACAGAAATTAAAACTTCTTTTCTTCTGAGCTTCACAAAGACAATTCATTACTTGGCAGGGCACTAAATGGAGCAAAAGAGTGACTAGCTCCTGATTTTAATTTGTGGAATAGGAAGGAGGTGCAGGAAGGCAAGCAGTTCGATCTTGGAGGATTGGACTTCTTTAAGAGCAAGCTCAGTCTTCTCAACATTTTCCCCTGTGGTACTCTCTATCCCTTATCCCTTTTTCTCCCTTCTCCTCCTCCTGTGTCAGATTGTAGGGGATGTAGAAAGCATTTCTTTCCCTCTTTCTGTCTTGTTATTCTTTTAATTTGCTTTGGTCCACAAATAATTGAAGCAACATTCATTGAGCATGAAAACGTTTGATTGGTTGATTGATAGATTCTACCCCATTTTTATTTTTTTTATTTTTTATAAATAACTGGGTGGTGAATATAGCTTAATACTCCTCCCTTCTCCTGTTTTCACCACAACCATCCTATGAGGTGAGGTGAGCTGTGAGAGTGACTGGTCCAAAGTCACCCAACCAGTTTTTCATGCCCAAGTCAGGACTAGAACTCACAGATACTCCTATTCTTGACAAGGAACATTCAGTGGGGAGCTGTGGGGAGGGACGGAGGTAAAATGGCTCAGTGGATATTTTCTGATCTCTTGGCTTGAACAGCTTCTCTCTGTGGACCCAGAGGTGGCAAGCACCAATTCTCTGGGGGCAGTGGTGGAGGGGTAGGGCTGGAATATCTTTGGAAGCCTTCCTTCTGCTTCTGTCAAAAGCCTGTTGGAGGGACACAATTAGGAGGAAGAAGCTAATTCAGCAAAACTGGCAGTTTTGCTGAATGGAAGTAGATTTATTTTTTCTTTCAAGAATCCCCCACTGTGTATTTCTTCTGCTTTCCATCAGGTGACTTAGGCACAAAAGCCAGCTTTGGGTCAGTCACTCTCAGCCCAAACCACCTCACAGGCTTTTGGGGAAAGTAGAAGGGAAGAATTAGGTATATTCGTCACCTTGAATTATTTATAAAAATAATAGGGGAGAGGTATAAAACAATCGAAAAAAACCCCATTGCTATGAAAAATAAAACTATCTCAGAGCAGAGTCATGGACCAAAACTGATTCACCAACAAGCAGTTCCAAATTGCTCCAGTATTCTCAGGATATACCCCCCCCCCCCCGCATTTAAGAACCACTGGCTTTGGTGGAGCCATTTCTTTTTTCATTTTTAAATCTGGGCATAAACCATTTTTGTTTGCTTCTGAGGTACAAAATGCTTTGGGTTTTCTGGTTTTCGAACAAGCCTTAGTGATAGACATCTTTGGCTTTTATGTTGCTTATTGTTTAATCTAAGCCTTTGAATCAGTGTTGACTCCTGGCAGCTGTGCCGGGACTAGTTTTCCTGAAGCTTTCTTGGCAAGATTTTCGGAAGTGGTTTGCCACGGCCTTTGTCTTAGGACAGAGAGAGAATGGTTGGCCCAAAGTTACCCAACTGGTTTTCCATCTAACAGAGGACTAGAAGTAAGCCTCCTGGTTTTAACCTGGTACCTTAAACACTACATCAAACTGGCTCTCTCTCTCTCTATTGTTTATCTACTATTTGTTGTTTAGCATTGCATATTTCTTTAGAATTAAAGCTGCCTAGGACTAATATTATTAATTTTGCATATTTTGATAAATTAATGTAGTCCGTACTTAGTTTTTAACTAGTGTAAATTCTTTTTATAATTAATTTTGTTGCTATTTCAATCTGATCTTAAATCTCTGATATGGTGTGAGCAATCACCTGTTTCTTTAGGGCTCCTTTATAGAGACTTTATAATATTATAGATATTGGACAGTAAAGCTACCACAGTACAGCATAATGAGCGTTCCATATACACCTTCATGGTTCATGGATTCATTTCCAACAAGAAATGTCGGGGGCGGGGGGGGGGAATTTCCAGCCCACTTAATACATTTTTTTATTGTTTTAGGTATGGAAATCAGATATAATCTAATTAAAATCATTCAGCTAAGTTGTTTTCCCCCTTTCCAGCAATTAGTCAAGGTCCTGGGTATGACGATCTCTTGCCAGTTCTTATTTTTATAGTATAGTCTACCTCTTTCAGTTGCATCCTGCCTTCTTTTCTATGGTCAGCTGTTTTACAAATCTGGAAAGTAGAGGCCAAACCACTTTGCTAGCCAACAAGAATAACCCTCAAGCAATCTGGGTTTTCTGCGCAGTTTCTTTATTCATTTGGGTAGCTGATTCTTAAAACAGATCTGGTCTTATTGAAAGAAATACAGAATATCAGTGAACTGGAATTTCAGTCAAATCAATATGACCTTGAGAGGTAATAGACTCTTTAAAATAAGATTGCTTTATGAATAGCTGGAGTATAATTAAATATGCCTCTGCGAAAAAGCATCAAAATTAGTTGAATAATTTTGTGCTCTGGACACTATGGTAAAACCTTATTTCAGAAACTGTATCAAAGAGATGCTTGCTAGTTACAATATTAATATTAAGACAGGAAAAACCTCAAGATTTTCAAATAATTATTTCAGAGAGATGGCAATTCTATTATATACTGTTTACATCTAAAGAAAACAACTGGTTTTTTTAAAGGAGTTTCTTAGAACAAACTCTATTCCATTTGTGTTTCTGGTTTTTTAGAAGGAGATAACTCTTGGTAGAGCAAGTTTCCTTGATTCTAAATATCCAGCTTGGAAATTTGGGGGAGGGCTGGGGGGAGCCTCCCTAAATCTGGATTTTGTTACATTTAAGAAAAGGTTCTTCATTTGGGAAGCATATTTTTTTCATGGAAAGATAACTTCCTGTTCAAAAAAAAGATGTATCTGAACAGAAAGATAAATTGTAGGATTACATGGGTTCATTCTATTTCCCCAGAGCTCCAGATAGAAGGACAGAGTAACTTTCCCCACCTGGCCTTGACCACCACCTGTTGTTTGGAGAAGTAACTTTTCTCTCATAGCCTACAGTGACATGTTGTTAAACTTGTATAATAATAAGGAGGGTTGGGGGTCATCATGGTTTTGGCTAGATAAGATTCAAATTGGAGTTCCTTAATCTGTTCTTCAGATACATATTTCTTCACCAAAGTGGATTTCCAGGCTCAGATCCAGCCATTTCTTTCTAGTTGAATTTCTCTTTAATTCACAGGGGGTGCCTTTCCCTTCACTTTATTCATCTCTTTCTCATTCTCAGGAAAAATAATGTGGCATTGGCAGTATGTACACAGAGCACGTAAGATATTTTGCAGGAACATTAGAAGTTATGTGCCAGAAATTCCCTTGACTCTTCAGCAGAAGTCTCTGGGCACCTTTTCTAGATGGTGGGAACAGGATAGTCCAGTCAGTTGTGGTGATGAATACATAGAGAAGCACTTCAGCTTTGCTTGATTGCACATACTGATCTATCTAGCAATCTACCAAGAGTGCCCCCCCCCAAAGGGTTATTTCTGCAATTCCTCCCTTAACTGTTTTGTAAATATCCTAAGATAATAAATACCTCTGTAAGGTTTGCAGAAGCTTTAATTTTTACTGTATTCTGCTGTATTCCTACATATATTTTTACTGTATATAAGACTCCAACAACTTCAAACTAAATATGAAAAGCAGTAGGATGGCTATTATCATCACTGACCTTGGGGTGAGGGAAAAGAAAAGACCTAGCAGATTTTTCCTTCCCTCTTTCTCCCTTTAATGGTTGTTTATAATTCATTGGTTCATTTATATATGTTTCTATATGTATATGTTTGTTTAGTTCAGTTTTCCAGTTGTTGGATTTACCTGTTCAAAAACATTGTTTTGCATTGGGTTGAAGGGCAGTCTTATTGTATTCTCTCTGATTTGGGAATCAAGGTAACTCATCCCCTGGAGATTCAAATGAGGATGTGAGTGTTGCCTATTCACTCTAGGAAACGTACTAACTGAAGATAAAGAACATCCTCACTAGTGCTCAGAAAATAGAAATTCGCAGCAGCTTCATCTCTGGTTCCTTTTATACAATTAGCATAGGTTTTTTTTATTCCTTTAATGAAATGATAAGGTAAGTTTAAATATTAAGAGACTAGACATGACGTGAAGATTTATTCTTTGNCAGGTTTCCATTCTATTTTAACCCGTTATTGCATCCAGCCAATTTTTGATCCTTTTCCAAAAATTTTTAGCCTCCTCACAGGTCCACCATAAATGGTAATATGTTCCATGTATTGATTCGCATTTCCAACATTTTGGGGAGGTATTTGTTAAGATTTGAGCTAACCTTGGTGTCAGGTGCCATCTATAAAACATTTTGTACTGGTTTTCCTTGTATGCAACTGATAGTGTAATTTTTAAGTTTGTTCTTATGTATACTTTTTTTCGTCTCCAAACAGGGATGCAGACTTGCCATTTCTGAGGAAGCAGCGGAATGACCTCTGTGACTTAATGGATGTGCCCAAGCCCCAATTGATAGTGAAGGTAATGTTTTAAAATACCAATGAAGCCCTGATAAATATTTCAGGGAAACAATTTGGTGCAACTCAATTTTGCTGACACAAACCCCAGACCTATTTAACACATGCAAGTGGCAGAACTATCAAAAAGAAGATTTTATCACTGTCCCCTAGTCTGTTGTTTGAAAAGTTTTCAGATTTCTCATGTGGAGCTGTTGGACAGAGCATGACTTGTAGTAGTACAGCTGCTTACGAAAATATGCTTACTGCAATGTGGTGATCAGGTGGTCAGTTTTACAGACTATCTTGCTACAGGTAGTCCTTGACTTAACACCCTTTGTTTAGTAACTGTTTCAAGGTACAAGTTGCTGAAGTCATTCTGTACCGGTGGTTTAATGGTTTCAAGCTGGGCTGACTAGAGAGCCTGGCTTATATAGAAGCATATTAATGTGCTTGGAGTAAAAATAAGCTTTGTGCTGTAACACAAATGACCGAAATGTGCTAAAATTTCAGTATTATACTAACTGTTAATAGGGAATGCTGCATGTGGGTAGGAATATGACTAATATACCTGCCTAGTCCATACCTTCTCTGTGCTGTGAAAAAGCATATGAAAGTATTTAGGCAATTTCTGAAACATCCTTTTAAAAGTCAAAAAGGTTTTGTGTTGAACTAGAGAATGAAGCTATTCCATAAAAGTATTCTCCTGCTTCTTGATTTGTATTTGTGTGTTCATCTATATTAGTTTAGAGAAATATCCACATGTGGTTTTTTTTAATAAATCATCTTATTAAAGGAAGATATTATTAATATTAATGTTTTGATTTTGAACAAGCACATCTATATTCAGGCAGGGATAACAATAGAAGCATGTAGTTGGTGCCTAGGCTGGGCTCTGAGATAGATCTGGAAATTATGGTTTCAGATATTACTCTGTTGGCTTGTGAATGTGGCAGCTTGTCTGTCTTTTTCATTCTTTGCTGAATGGCAACATAGTAGTAATAAAAATAAATTTTGTAGGTAAGGTTTACTGGAACATAAACATTTAGTCCTGAAAATGTACTATACGTCTTTGAAATCAAAAGATCTAGAAATCTTTTGTGGCTTTCTAAACTAAGAGTGACAGGTACATCTGTATGCCTTTGTGCTGTAGCTGCAGATTTCATTCTCCACAAGTTGGAAGAATTTTCACAGCAGTTTGATTTCCCATTAGTCTGTTTTTCAGAAGGGATATTTGAAAATATGCAGCACTACCCAGCTTGGAAGACTCAAATTTCCAAGAGCATATGTAAAAGGGGCGGGGGGGGGGGGAGAAAGCATTGGAAATAGATTTTTTCACCTTTTGGAATATACAGTTGAACATTGCATCCATTAGCACAAGTATAAACATAGTGCACTACTCTGCAACGAAAGTCAATATAGGAGGTTGTTCTAAACTATGGATTGGACAATGCCTGAAGGAAACTTTAGTTGTAGATCGACATTTTAAAGCTGTTACTAACAGATTACTTACAACATTCTGTGAATCTTACAAGTAAAAGTTACTTTTATTTATTTTGAAACATACTCTTGACAATGTCATGAAATTAATCCCATTTTCTCCCTCTTTCCTGCAGAGGTCATAATTGGAAATCAATTAATATTGAAAATTACAGTGCTTTGAATCTGTGGACACAAAGGAACAGAGAGTTTTTCAACAACTTGGGCAACAGTATTTACTGATCAAGCTAAAAAAAAGGCTAAAAATTGAGAAACTAATTTGAAAGTTGTACTTTTTTTTTAACTCGTATACTATCCTTTAGTTTTAAAAGATAATATATATGTTGGTGATTGTGTTTCTGAAAATTAAATTGGTTTGAAAAGTTCAAATAACTGCAATTTCTTGAACGTTCTCTGTTTTTGACTTTATTAAATTACAGCATTCCAAATTTCATTATAACCAGTTACCTTGTCAAATAAGTTACATATTATATAAATATCCACAATCTACTATTTCAAAAGCTATCTGCATAAGAGTAGAAGCTTCATTCTTTAAAAAAGGCATTTGAGAATAAATTATCCAGTTGACATATCAATCAAATGATACAATGAAGTCTGTGGGCATTCTTGCCATTTGAGAAGAGCATAAAATGGGTAGGATTTCATCCACGATACATTGTTTAATTCCAGCTGAAAATTTGTCACCTTTCTAAACAGAAGTATAATTAATTATTCAAACTTGATACAATATCCTGACTTTTTGGATGTTGACAATGTTTTTTAATATGTATTGAAATAGTTATGATGCTAAAAAGAAATATACAAGGAAATACTAGCTGAAATAATGCAAGCAACATTGGTTGGTAAAATTAAAATTGGATTTAAAAGGGCCAACAGTTTTGTTTCTCCTGTACACTGCTTGGAGTGTCCAAGCATGGGTTGACACAGTCTATCTGCCCTAGGACTGAGTAGATTTTTCTTTGACCACGCCTCCCTTTGCCTCATTGCGGTCAGTTTAAAAATTCAGTCCGCCCATAAGAACTATATCTGGGGAGCTCTTCAGTTCTATTAGGATAGACTGGGACTCTCCAATCAGTTCACAGTAGAAATTATTTGTTATTTTTGTCTAATGTCTTGCAATAGTTAGGTTAGCATAGCATAGGAGAAAAGTACCTTTAAATCTTGCTGAGAGGCTGTCGGGCTGCCGGTCGCACGCAGCAGTGAAGAGCGATGGAGGTGCTTGTCCAACGGCTGCTGGCGAGCACGGGGGCGGCAGAATGCTTCCTGACCCTCCCCAGCGGTCTACTGACGATCCGGAGCTCCAGAGGCTCGAATTGAGGCTTTTACAGCCAGCAACAGCTCTCTCCTTTCCCTGACAAGCGCGGCAGCCATTTTGGAAGCGACCTTTTCACACGCTTTTCTCTGGCCATTAATTGAAACTCCGGCTGGCTTCTGAAGATGGCTGTGAACGGCGACAGCCATTTTACGAGCTGAGAGTGTTCGTATCATCGCCTGGAAGCCCAGGGAAGCCTGAAACAGCTGCGAAAAAGCCCTCAGCTGCAGATAGCCGCCAGGGAGAGTCTAGTTTTGTCCAGGGCGCCGGCACACTTCCACCAACAGGAAGGGAGGCATTGGAGTCTCCTTGGCGACTGGCCATACTCCTGACCTCTGGTTGATCTGCGTTCTCTGGACGCTGTGGGAAAGTCCAACCCTGTCCAGGGGTTAACAGGCGTCCAGACTCTTTACCTTGAACGTGACTATCACAGGCATCCTGTAACGGATGAGACCTTCATTTTTAAACTGACCTCAATGAGACAAAGGGAGGTGTGGTCAAAGAAAAATCTACTCAGTCCTAGGGCAGATATACTGTGTTAACCCTTGCTTGGACTCTCCTGCAGCGCCTAGAGAACGACCGTTCAGGTAAGCCAACGGTCATTTTGTTTTGTCTTATAATGAGTGGAAAATCAGATACAAATAGTAGGAACATACAGCTTGTTGGATTTGATTCTCAAAATGTACTTTACACAATGAATTGTAAAAACTCTGCATAACGTTTTAAGCAATTCTGTCCTTAGAATCACTTTGCAATTGAATAGGACAGCAATCCCAGGAAAGAGTTGGCTACTTTAAAGGTTAATGATAAAATATTTATGCTTTCACATATTTACACACCATCTTTTTAAAATTATTTTCCAAATAGTGCATAGCCCTAGTAAAAAGAGTATTCTGTTAAAGTTGTTGACATAGTTTTCCCTTTTCATATGTCTCTGTACAAATGAAGAAATATTGTAAAGACACAAAATAAATTTGTGTAAAAATCAAGATTTTCTTTCTTCTGTAGGAATTTAATTTTAGTTAAAACAAGTGTTTAATGTTTTTTAGATGTTCATAAAAATAAACATCTGATGGAGAGGAAGCATAAATAAGTTAGTCATGTTACCACAGCTGGTCTCAGCTCTTTGGAAGAGTATCTTAGTGACTAGTTAATTTCCTGACCATGGAGACTGGTTTCAAACCTCTTGATATAAACTATATTCTAAAAGTAAACCTTGTTTATCTCATGCTGATCTTTTAGACCTGTCTCAGGATATTATAACATGTAGTGTTTTAATTCCTTCATATGAATCACTGAATCACAAAGCATTGCAGACTTTATATGAGGAAAAGTCCAATTATTCCTAGCAGTGAAGATTGTTAAATTATCATATGAAATGTACAGGGGTTCATTTCGCTCTCAAAAATGTTGTGAAGAGAATTAGATGTTTCCAACATAGAAAGCATTGACGGCGGCTAAAGTTGAAACCATTCTTTCATATTGTCCTCAAGTTACAAGGAGAAGGAATTGCAGCTGGATCTGATGCTATGAAAAGCGGAGCTGTCTCCTTTTCCCATCAAAGCCAGGAATGTTCTGGGTCAAGTGTTCCATTGCACACTAAAAAGGTCTGGTTTTTGAAGGCAGGCTTGTGCCATTTAGCAACAGGGAGGAGGAAGCTTCTTTTAAAAGCAATAGTGGCAGCTGTGGGGCCAGTGAAAGACTGTGCAGTAATGGGAAGGCCTATATTCCCCCCTCATTTCTCTTTAAGATGTCCCCTTTCCAAAGAGGCACTAGTTCAACAAGGTAACTTCAGTGGAGCCCAGGCGGGAAGGCAGATTGGGGTGGAGGCAGGACTCTGAAGCAATTTAGGGTTGGCAAATACAATGAGGTCAGGCCTGGGCCTTTAGGCAGCTTAAGGTTGTGACCATGAAATAGAACTAGAAAGCAGATAAGAGTAGCAGCCACAGGGAGGAAACTGCAGCTTTCCAGAGACAGTCATGGCTACTTCAGCCTTTGTGACTGTGGGAGAGAAATTAGGTCGGTTAAGTATAGCCTGGAATTTCAAAAAGCCACAATTTCCAAAAGGTATGTGTACAGTACAAATAGAGAATTGCATATGAAGTAGAAAACAAAATAGTAATATAATTTCTAGAAAAGAAGAGATGAAACTGCTTGATTTGTAAAGGCTTTCTAGAAATAATCCCGATCGTAACAGAATTCTGTGTCTGTCTTTGGTGCCATCTCATAAACCATATTCATTACACAAGGGGTATGGTGGACATCGTCGAGACATGATGTTAAGTAGTGGCAAGACAGATTCTGGATATATTTGAAAAACATTTTTTGCAGGGTATATTAAGAGTTATGCACACAGTTTTTGTGTTTAATTTGAAAATTACTGTTTACATTGTAACTAAAATTCTTCTGCAGCATTTTGAGAAGGTAGGTTGCCAAAAGAAAATGGACTGACTACTCCAGACACCAATAAGGGGGGAAACAAATAGGTGACATTAGTTAGATTTGTTCCATGTTGATTTGCTTCTTATAAACATATAGCTCTTCCACCATTTTCACCTCTTAATCCATATGTTCTTCCCAGTAACTAAAGATATGCCTTCCACAGCCCAAGTGACATCGAAACGTCAAAATATTACAGCCACATCAATATGGATTTCTTGGGAATAATACTGAAAAGATTTGCCATTGTCACCTTCTGAATTTGATTCTGGAGTTTTCTTAGGTGAATTGGCTACATTCATACAGGCAGAGTCCTATCTGTGGAATGACTCTTAACTAGCTAAACTTCAATTCACTTAGCTTGATGCTATACTACCTCTAGTTGATTTTTATGACTTGAGATAATATTTTAACATTTGCATAGATTAATATTTCTTCTGAGAGGAGTTATAGAGAATCTTGACTAAAATAATATTGTATCTCCTCTAGTACGTTTCATGATGAGAAGCTTGCCAATAAACCACGCTCATCAATTAAAATGATAGTAATCCACACCTTCTTTCAAATTCAATAGGCTCAAATTTTCCTCAAACTGTCCATCTGTGAGATCCTGCAGAAACAAAGAGAAAGATCACAATCAGAAAGTTTCACCAAGATACATCATACATCTGAAGCCTTCTGCAATCACAGTACCTATTGTCAATAGAGAAATAAGCCATGCTTAAGACCTTGTAACTGAATCCAAAGTTATCTTACAATAGAAATTCCCGAACATATACAATGTTTTATTTATGCCACTGCAGTGAAAGAGACAATATTTTCTTGCTTATCTTTCTCTACCTCTTTCTCAGCCCTAATTTTTTTTGCCTGGGTTGTACTACATAGAAAATTGGGTTGGTTAAAAATCTAAGGACTACATTTTACTAGTGAAACTTCATTAATTTTGACCTTGATTAGGATTTGTTTTGGTATTTTAGAATTTTATGCAAATCCAATCTTGGGCCACAGAGATCCCCTCCTCTTTTTATCTGAGAACTGCTAATGAATAGATACGAGTTTCTAACAATCAATTCTAGAGTTTGATAATGACTTATTCATACATTACATGTAATAGTGGATGCTGGCTGTGCCCTTACCCCCTACCACATAGGCTCTTATTCAGCTCATTCATATAGAACATGAACGTTTATGTTTTATGATATGGGTGTCAAACTCGCCACGTCACATTGCCATCACGTGATGTATCACAATGTTTTTCCCCTTCAAGGAGCTGTGGTGGGCATGGCCTGTGCATGACGCATCTGGTGCATGGGCTGCCAATTTGACACCCGTTCTATTACATTTTTTCACATTCAACCCTAGAAGTCTGCTAGTGCCAAAATATCATTGTGGAATCAAGGCCAGGAATTTTGTTGCTAATTCTGATTACCTTATCCTATACAAAAGGAACTCTAGAAGTTGAAGGCTTTCTGCTGCCCCTGATATAAGATATTAATGCCAAAGCAAAAGTAATTTTATTTTCATTCTGTGATTAAGTTCTCTTTGACAGTAGTGAAAAGTTAACAAGTTTTGGGTTTTTTAAATTTGTATTATTTTGCAAATTTAGACTCATTGTGAGAGTATGACCAAAAACAGGTGGTAAGTTGGAATCTGCTATTCTTTCCCTTCTTTCCCAGATGATGCTCCCATCTGTGCAGAACAGTCAACTAGCATTGCTAATACTTTTAGCTTCTGCCAGCCCTTAGGGAACACATAATACATTCAAGGGGCATCATAATCTGAACAATAAAGAAAGCAGCAGGTAGACTGAAGATTACAAGGCCCTTAATTTTTAGCAAGGAAGAGTTCTACAAAAAACCTGATGATCATGACAGTGATTTATTGCAGTCAAATGCCTCAAATAGCTATAACAGCCTGGCTCAGACAGGCTGTCAGAACCCCATTTGTTAATTTCTGTAGGAGATAAACTTGCTGCCCCTCTTCCGATTTAAGACAACTACTAAATCTTAGTCTAAACACATGAGAATTCAGCCTTTAGTTTGCATCTTCCAAGGAGGCCTGGTTTTTCCCCCCCCAGAGAATTCTTTTTCTTTTAGAAATTAGGTAACATGCACATCCAGTCTGGCACATTTGTACAAAGACCACTCACCAAACTGGTGGGCAATTAATTCCAATTTCTGACTTCTGTTGCCACCCTCAGCCGGGTAGGAACCACTTGATTTCTTTTAGGATTCAGAAATAAATGGCTCATAGAGTGAAAGGATTTTATTGAATCAATATGAAGAGAGTTTTAGAGAAAGAAAAATATACCAATCTACATCCCTTCACCTTGCTATGAACCCCCAATATAGCAGATGGGCTTCTGAACTCTGAGGATTTTGGGTCTCTATAGCAAGCCAAATTGTCTGGAGGCTTTTGCCAACTTTTATAATTAAGAGTTAGGGAATATAAATAATAACAACTGAACGAACCTCGGTACATTACCTTATGAACTCCCCGTGGAGATCTGGACCCTCACCACCCTCCAGTCCTTCCGCGCCGCCCTAAAGATCTGGCTGTCCCGGCTGGCCTGGGGTTAAGACCCTAACCCCACTCGAATTGTGTGTTGTGTTTTTTTTAATATGATGTTTTGTCTTTATGTTGGAAATTGTTTGTCCCTCCCCCCCCCCTTTTTGAACTGTGAGCCGCCCTGAGTCCCCCCAGGGAAAAGGGCGGCATACAAATAAAGGGAAAATGAAATGAAAATGAAATGACTTGGTCATAACATCAAAAAGGGGACGTTCTGCCAAAGATACTTTTAGAGAAAAAAGGGCTCCTAGCAGACAGCAGCTGGAAAAAATCTAATGACATCTCTGGTCAATAACCAGGCAACTCAGATAACTGATTCTGTTTAAAACAAAGAACTGTGCTGATAGAAACAAATATTGTATTTCAGGGTTGAAAAGAAGGATCCTCTGTGCTCTCTGAGCTTGGTAGTTTTCTTGCAGATGTTTCATTATCAAATAGGTAATGTCACTACTAGTTGGGTAGTGAAATATCTGCAAGAAAACAACTAAGGACACCACAAAACATTGTTTCTGATGTTTTTGGTCAGTAACTGGGAAACCGGGAATCTGGTAAAAATATTTTTGGGAAATGCTGTTCTAGTATGCAGCCATGGCTCCATCTCCACTTAGAAAATGTTAGATTAAGGAATTTATGTTGCCCTTCTTACTTTGTTACTAGTAGGAACATAAAGAAAATAAGCAAAGGTGAGACAATGATGCAATCTTCAAAGCTTACTAAACTCTTTCCACACAGGTATTTCTTATATGGGAAGAAGGGAAAAGAGGTCCACTCCCAACTATCTTTTTATTATAATTGTCTATGATTTCATTCCACTACTCCATTCAATACATTTGAAAGAAGCTGTGCTTGACCGGGTAACATGGAGAGTACTTGCCTATAAAGTTGCCAAGAGTTGGACATGACTGAATGATTAAAACAACAATTAAAGCATTCAGGAGAGAGCCTTTAGAAATTGTCAGATGAAGTTTAAAACAAAACAAAGCATAGAGCTGTACTAATTCAAAATTGATCAGACTTGAGTTTTTTTTTAAATGTATTAGCAACCTTAATGTTTGAGAGCATTTATAAAACAATCCTTTCGGTTTCTCACAGCTAGACTCAACCCTGGCTCTGCATCCTCCCTTAGAAACAAAGAATGTTCATTAAAGAGGGAGATGTTAATAGCTTCAAAGGAGCCTACTGACCACTTACTGTCTTAGATGATATACTGTATCTTCTGATTTCCCTCCAACCTCCCTAAGACTGGCTTACACAGCGAATCCCTAGACTTGGATTCAGGAGGGTGTTTGGTTGGACATGACTTGATATAGGCTTTGTGTAGAGAAATGGTATAGGAAGTAGGGCATGGAAGAATGAACCCTCAGAGCAGGATTGTGCATGGGAATAAAAGGAATAGATGGAGAATTTGATCCTGGAAATGATGCACGTAGGTGGCAAGCTAAAAACCCTTAACTCACTCTAGGTATTACCTACCACCAATAACAGCCAAGTGATATTTTGCTATTTAGCAATATATGTGAAACACTGACCTCCTTGAAGAAAAAGCCTGAAAGCCCTGTTATAACACTTCGTTTTTAATCACAGGAACTGCACATTTTTTCCAAGCAGCTTAGCCAGCATAATAGCAGTGACAGCTTAACATATTAGTCTGATGGATTTTGCATAATGAATGGCTTCTTCATTGAAAGGATCCTTTCAACAAGCAGTTGGACTATTAACTCTGGTTAAAGGTGATCCTCCAGTTTACTGTATGAAGAGGAACCTTGTGTCTACTTGCCTCTCTTTTGCCATATAAGGTTATGATAACATATCTCTCCCATCTATACTTCATCAGTAAGTAAATCGGGTGACATCATTCTCAACTTCAGCATTTATTTTGAGCTTTTAATTTCGGAGCACAAGTAATTCATGTTTGCAGCAGCATTAGTCTCAAAAGCACACATCATTCAGATTAGTGAGAACAAAGACCCTATTGCTTTGGCTTTTATGCACACATAACATTTAGTATTTATGCAGGTTTTTCCAAGTGTTCAAAACACATAAACTGTAGCCTCTCAGTAATCTTAATAGCACTCCCCATGGGAAGCCATTATTATTCTATTACAGATGGGGAGCTAAAGCAGGGAGAGAACTCATGATTGCACTTGAACCAGGGATTTCTCATTCTTGCTAGCAAAGCTTGTAACCATAAAGGAAGAGAGGCAATGATACTGTAAAAACAGGCAGTTAGGAAGCCAAAATGACCTCTTTGTAACTGAAAGACTTTGAGGGTAAAAATGTATGTCACCTATCAGTTCATTTGTTAATGCAAATGTTTTAAATCATAGTTAGCCTCCAGTGACCTCTTTCAAAGGGAACTGAATCCAGATTAAGTTCTGGAATCTCTAATCTAACTGCAAAATCCTGTGGTATGAACAGCAATCTATAAAATATGTTCAACCGCATGGACAAAGAACTGAATACAATGGTTGGTCAGGAAGTGTACATTTCTCTTCCTAAATACAAGCAAATACAAAGGATATTAAAACTCAGTGGTTGGGCTGAGTTACACCAGATTAAGAACTGTCAACTGCAAATGATTTCTTTTCTTCTCAAGGCTTTACAGAAATCTAAACAATAAAATGTGGACAGCAACATTCTTTGCTTGACTAACTGATACCTTTTTCCGCATGTGTTGTATGTTTTTATTGAAATACCCAGAAAGGAACACACTGAGCCGTTATTTTGTCTTACCAGTAGAACTTTTAAGAGAATGCCAAAACAAGCTAACTTGCAGGATGGAAGGTGTGCTGCACAGTTGGTGCTTGGTCTGCCCAAAGGTTTAATGTGTTTCCAAAGCAAATAGCCAAGCCTTCCAGAGGTATTAGCTAAAGAAAGTCCATCTCCTGCTTCCGGGCACCTTCTTTAGGATAGGTCAATGATTTCTGAAAGGGGTGATGGATTTTGCAGAGTAGCCAAAGCACAAGGCGGTCAAACTCCTAAAAGTTATGCTCTAAATGAAGCCTCACTCCAATTTTAGATTTTACAATTTAGTGAACTGTTCTTTACAACACGGCTTGGCTTTAGGTCATCCAAGACGGTACCATCTCCTTCAGACGATCACAGTGACCCTGCATTTTCATAAGGGTGATTATTCTATGGCAATGAGAGACTGCATATGCTTAGCAGAAACATATAAGCAGAAACTCACACTCACACACCTACAAAGCCATATTTAACAGCCTCAACAAAACAAGTTAAAATAACATTGAACTTGCTCCTGGAATTTGCAAATGAAAGTACATATTCTCAGCAGAGCTGTTATAAGAATACCATATTTTTGGAGTATAAGACACACCTTTTTCCTCCAAAAAAGAGGCTGAAAATCTGGGTGCATCTTATACAATGAATACAGCATTTTTTGCCTCCAGAAACCACAGCCCCTTCATCAAAACGGCCATGCATAGTTTTTAGAGAGCTCCTGGGGGCTGGGGAGGGCAGAAATGAGCAAAAAAGGAGCACTTTATAAGCCTCCTAAAGGCCATCCATGCCTTTTCTTTGACAAAAAATGGGCCTGTTTTCGAAAAAAAAATGTGCCATTTTTTGCTTGTTTGGGGGGGCAGCCCCCCAGGAGTACTTTACAAACCTCCTAAGGGCTATTCATGCCCTTTTTTTTGAAAAAAAAAGGCCCGTTTTCACAAAAAAACGAGCCATTTTTGGGAGGTTTGCAGATTGCAACAACTTTTTTAAAAAAATTTGCCTCTTCAAAACCTTGGTGCATCTTATACTTCGGTGCGTCTTATCCTTCAAAAAATATGGTACATTTCAGAGGGTTTTTCAGTAGCTACGAGATGCGAGAGTAACAGATCTATTTGCAGACACTCCATGAAATGAAATGGAAAGTAACTATTAATTGATCCCTCCTCCTTGGTTACCTTTGTGTTGGGCATCATTTTGCATTAAGTTGAAGGTTGCTCTGTCCTTTACCTTTATTTTCTCCCTCATGAAATGCTTTCTTTTTTTCTCATAAAGATTGTATTTTTTTCTTCTAGAATAATGATGGGTAACCTTTTTGCCATCATGTGCCAAAAGCGGAGGGAGCGCGGGGAGGTCATGCGTACTATGCACCCTGCCCTGAGGCATGTGCACATAACTCCTTGTCCATGCGCGCGTGATCCCCTTCTCCCACTTTTTGTGTGTGATGGCACGGCACACCCATTTTTCACCCTCCCCAGGCTCCAGAGGCATTCTAGGAGCCTGGGGAGGGAGAAAACACCCCCCACCCCCCCGGAGGCCCTCCAGAGGCCAGAAACAGCCCGTTTCCGCCTTCTGATTTGCGTGTTGGGCCAGTTTTCACCTCTGGGGGCTTCATGAATAGCAATAGCAGTTAGACTTATATACCGCTTCATAGGGCTTTCAGCCCTCTCTAAGCGGTTTACAGAGTCAGCATATTGCCCCCAACAACAATCCGGNAGGTGTGGCTTTACTCCTAAGTCGACCCTGCTTTCTTAGTTGTTCTTGTCTTCTGCACATGCATACACTGGGAACAAGCCCCAGCTGTTCCTCTGCCTCACTGCTGTTTAGCTCCCTCTGCCTCCAATGCAGAACCCCATTTGAACTTTCCTCAGCCCCCCAGGATTGGCCCATGTTCCTCCCCAACCTCCTCACTGTCCGATTCTGCTGCCAGCTCTGCTGGCGCTGGCGGGCCACAACAATATAGTATATAATTCACTACAAAGCTATTATATTTGCTTGCTTACTTGCTTTGATTGACTGACTATAGTAGGTAGCTGAGACTAACGCTATTCTATCTGACTCTTCCTACGTTGTCTTGGCATTTCTTTTGCTATTGATATGTAGAGCCACATATCTAGCTCAGGATGCATAGTCCCTCTTCAGGAAATAAAAATGCTGCACATCTCAAAGACTAATAATTTCATTTCATAAGAAACTATTATAGATGAAGGCATACCTGTTTATTGTAGAGTTTTTCCTTTAATGTAAACAAATGGAAATGTTGAGGGTAGATGAGGTTAAAGTATTCCTATTGAAAAGAGACCCTATTTGGGATTTGGGGGTGGGAGGAGGGAAGACAGATTTTTAAAGTTTGGGGATGAAACTTCCTGGATTTCATAGCTGGGTGGGAGGAATGATCAGTGTGTGTGATTGTTTCCAGAGCACCACTTCTATGTATAGAAGAATTGCCAGGAGCTGAATCCATATATAAGGCTGGTGAAAAATGATTTTAAAATACTTTTTAATATCTTTTATCATCTGGTTGAGTTCCAGAATCTTCCCTGCCATTCCCTGACTTACTGGCTCAGAAATTGGGATGTGAACTCAGGATTCCAGACAAAACCTGAAGAGCCTATAATCGTTCAGAAGCTCCCCAAATAATTTTTAAAAATGAGTTGAATTATTTGGCCTTCTCCCAACCTATTGCATCATTAAAAGAGATAGGCAGATTATATCCTTGGACTAAAAAATAACATAATTGTCATATCCAATGAAACAGAATTCACATCATTTCCCCAGCTGTTAAAATGAGAGTACTACTTCAGGTGGATATAAATATGATACAGATTAAGATTAAAGAGCCAAATGAGTGATGAAGACAATGGGAGAAACAGAAAAAGAAATACAAATTCTGCTGCTCTTTATTCCATAGAGTAAATGCCTATGGAATAGGCTATTCTCTTATAATTTGGAGCAGAACTTACAAACTTGCTTCTCTTATGTACTGGAACTAGTTAATTTTGCCTACATGTTCTAGAAAGTGGCAGTGCCCTAAATATAATGAATGCTATTCAGGAGGTTCAGATAACAGAAATTTGCTTTTAAAAAGATGATCTTCCCTTCCCCTGCAATTCGGATGGATATACCAATTTTTTTACTTCAATAGCAATTACGATTAATTGACTGATGAATAGTTTTGCACTGAGGAAAATGGATGTGATGCTAGAAACCATGGATAGCAGCACGGAATTGGCTACTTATGTATACTTCTTATTTTTATTTTTTATTTACAAACTTGTAAAATACACACACACAAAACTTAGACGTACACCACATTTACACAATACAATACGAACAGAGCTTCCTGTTCTTTCTAATAGAAATTATCAATCGATACCGCTCAATTTATATTATTTTCCCTTCTATTATATTTCATTTGGATTTCACCATTCTTAACCCTCTTATTTTACTCATAACTATTATTTTTGAGTTTTGTTNTGTATATTGTTTTCTCTTACAACATGATATTCTCTATGTAATAATATACATGTGATTATATGTTATGGAAATGAAAATAAAATATTCTTAAACAAAAAAAAACCTGTTCTAATTTTGGATAAGGAAAGGCATGATCGCAATAATAATTTAAAATATACTTTCGTACTATGGCAAAAATTATAGATTTCACATATTTGACTCCAAGTTGTACTTACCAATTTCACACAAATAATTAAAGGTGGGGAAGCTTCTTTGAAATGAAGAATTGGAATTCTGGGTTTGGAGGTTTCCTGAACAGAGATCAGTACATTTCCTGGTCAGTTTGATGTACTATAGCTGTCCCTTTGAGCTTATTACAATGAAAAGCATAGTTTTTAGAAATAGTTCTGTGGTTGCCAGTTTTCCTTTATACTGCTTCATTAGCATGTGGTTAACCAAATCTCCTTTTTTCCACTCATGGCTTTTGCATCATTATTCTGGTGCAAAATACCTAGTTTTGGAAATCCCCTTGTCGGGTATGCATTTGCAAAAATACTAAACTTGATCAATGCATGGCCTGGACGCAGAAGGTAATCCTTTTCCCCGTTTTGCCTCTAGAAAAGACAATTGAAAGGAAGAGATCCTTCTCTTCCTCTAATATTGTATCCTAACTGCCTAAGGTTAGGAGGATGGCTTCCACTGAGAAATTGCCTTCCTTCACAATACCTCTTGTAGAACTCCTTTCATTCCACTCTACATTATTTATCAAATCAAATGACAACCCAATTTCCTTTAACGTTGCTTTGGCCTCTAAATAGGATCATAAAAGTCCTACACTCCTCCTGGAACAGAATTCAGACGTTAGTCTCTGGAACATTTTTTTTTAACTGATTGTTTTTTTAGCATTGAAGAAAAAAAGTGGGATTTACAATACCCAACTCCATTCTATTCTATTGTACACTGTTTTCTTTCCATACATAGATATTTTTGGGGCGGGTGGAGGAGGGGAAAAATATCAGGATGAAATTTTCAAGTAGGTGATGTTTTATTTGGAAACTTAAATTTTGTTTTTCATTTGTTCTGAAGATTCCTTTCTCTTCTGCTTTATTTACGTATGTTTAAGATGACTGTGGTTTATAAGGAGAATAAAGAGTGCCAGCTAGTGGCCAAAACCCTTCTATGGTCAATTCATTTGATGCCATACCAAAATCACAGGGTTTGTTGTGAACCCATGCAGTAAGTTGCATTAAGCCAATTGTTAAACTCAAGCCAATTTTATATTACAAAGTTGAACTATTCATAAAATATAAAACATAAAAAATAGGGCATAAAAACATGCTCTATAAAATGTAGTGTAGAATGTATTTGACATCTGGAAATTTTCTGAATCTACCTCATTTCTGGAGTTCCTAGGATTAAGAATTACTATTCAATCAAAAACAAGTTTCAACTCTATTCTGTATTTCTATATTTCCTCATTTGAGTCCAGATTTTGGTTCCAAAGGGACAGCTTACAAATCCACACAGCATTTAACAATATACTCTAATCTGCATATTTAATTTAAATTTATATAGAAATTGGATTTCTGAATGAAATACGTTTTACATAAGGAATATGTTAACTCCTAATACATCCTCAATTCTAACATATTAAGAGTGTTGTAGCTCTGTGTGCACTATACTCACATGATAAAAACCATTTCACAAATAATAATGGCTAAAACAAAAACATTACCAACCTTAGATTCTTCATATGTGTAAAATCCTTTAGTGATTTTATTTTTATCCACATCACAAAATGCAGTCACCTAAAGGGCAGAGGTAAGCAAAAAGAAATGGTCTGTTGTTCTATTAAGGACATAAAGAACCTGTTGGTTGGACTGTGTGCTATATATATGCAATTTAGCTGGTGGACTATTTAATGCAGAGCTGTGCTTCCCTTATTTTATTTGTTCAATTTATATAGCCACTCTTCTCAGATACTGTATGTCTGTGTGGGCTGTCTCATATAAGTAATCAAAATTATAACAGCAAAAAGCTATTAAAACAAATTAAAACAATTAAAACCATAGTGTAGAACAAAGAATCACACCTGACACAATTGCAAAAATTATATAATAAAGAATACATTAACTTATAAAATGTTAACAAGTCTTGTTTATATACACAGACACAAACACACACAGTCCTAGTTTAGTGACCAAAATTGGGACTGATAAGTTGGGTCATTAAATGAAGCAATTAGTAAGTGAAATCAAAACCATGCTTATGATCTTACTTCAGCTCTCCTTTGCTTTATAGACCTGTGAAGGTCATAAATCCAAGGATTGGCCATAAAGTTATTTTTTCATCACTGTTGTAATTCAAAGCAATCAACAACAAAGGCAGTTGCTAAATGAGGACACCCCCCACTGCCCCCCCCATATCTTATGGGACTTGAAATCAGTTTGAGCTGTTATCTACATGCAGGATTTTTCATTTATTTACAAAATGAACATTATAACAAAAATTGCAAGAACAAACAGGATAAAGGCAACATGGATTTTATTATTAGAAATGCTACATGTCTATTTTGAAGATTTGTCTTACTTCAAATCACTCAAAGTACTGAAGAAACTGATTAATAGTTCAGATTACAGCAACAACAAGCAATCTCAGATACTTTCCATACTAACATATATCCACATGGATGGCCCTCATCTTTATTTATCTTTGTACCATCATTGCTTATGTTTTAATGAAATAATAACAAAGGAAAAGTGACATGCATCCAAAAGCAGGAAACAAATGTATCCTAATTGTTTATGCAATTAGAAGACGTCTAGTCTTCTAGGATGCTCTTATGAACTACTTACCTTAGAATTCACTATTAAATTCATTTTTAGAATATTGCAATTAACAATTTTTTAAACTTCTCACCAGTAACAGGCCCTTGTGTCTGCATTTGTATGACTTACATAAAACACTTCACAAAAGTCTTAAATATGTACAAAATGCCCATGAATGATTACTTTTTATTAGAGATACTACTAAGGAAAATACAAATTATATTTAGCTTTTAAAAATAAATGGTCCTTGTATAGAAGGGGAAACAAATAAATAGTGCAATTTTTGCTATACTAGTACAGTCTCCTTATACCCATTACATGACATTCTAACTCAGTATTTAGCAGTACCTTCCTGATGATGTTTCCCAGAAGCAAAATGTTTTAGACTAGAATGCAGGTGGAGACAGCAGTCAGATAGGGTTAACTCCATCCAGTAACCAATAGGGCTGAGTCAACAGATTATAAAACCATCCTCTGTGCTGCTCCTCCCCAGCTTTAGACGAAGTAGAGCGATGTGTAGTTGATATGGAGAAGGAGAATAAAGGAAAACCAGGAAAAAGGAAAGAAAAAGGACTACCCTAGTCCTATCAAAGGATGTAACCTGACTGGAACAGAGTGGGGCTGACTGCTGTCTCCACCTGCAGTGAGAATGAGCGTATCAACCAACACCCATTCTCCACGATTGGTGGAGACAGCAATCAGATAGGGACATACCCAAGTTTGGCCCGTTTTAAGGGAGGGATCCAGTCCCTGTGGAAGAGGAGTCCAAGGAATGGACTTGTTGTAAAACCCTCCGTCCAAAGGCAGCTTCAGCCGAAGCAAAGCAATCTGTCTTGTAACGGCAGATAAAGGAAACTGGGGATGTCTATGTGGCCAAATTTCCTCCACCGAAGCCTGAGTAGCCCAGGCTGCTGACGTGGCCGCACTACGAGTGGAGTGGCCCATTATACCATGTGGAGGAATAAAATCGTTCACCCTTTTGCCTTAGATATACAGGCTCTAAGCCAGCGCCCTATGGCAGAAGAGAAGACCTTAGAGTCAAGGGAAGCTGGCTGAAAAGAAACTAGTAAGGCCTCAGAACGCCTGAATGCGGCACAGCGTTTGATGTAGATATGTAATGCCCTGTGAACGTCTAGGGTATGCCACTTTTTTTCTAACCCATAAGTGAGATGGGGACAAAAATTAGGTAGTTCTTGAATCTTATGAAAGGCTTAAGGTAATCCTCCGGAGCACTGGCAGCTGCATTAGGAGAGGTCAGGGCCACCACTGGCAGGTCTATGGCAGGAAGGCCGAGAGCCTTAACTAAGGCATGTCCTATGTTATACAAACGTTTATCTAGGGAATTAGGCAGAGGACCGATGCCAGGGGAGGCCCATTGTCTTTGTACCACGTTCATAAAGATTATAGGAGAAGGAACGACCTCCTTTTCAACAGTGGGTTCCAGGAAAAGAGGGTCCTCTGAATCCCATCTCTGCAGCCGCAATCTTAGGCATTGGAGTAGGCTTAAAGCCCGCAATCTTCTTTGCCTTAAACAGCAAGGAATGAAAAAGAGCAGGTTTAAACAATCACACAAATGCGGGTTGATCAGGGCCCAAATCATCCTCAGAGATGAAGGCGCCTGCTCTTCTTCATCCCCCACCGTGGAAGGCTGAGACTCGGAATGGTTGGAAGAAGCCTTAGAGGAATGCTTCTTTTTACTTTTAGATTTGGCTTGGATTTAGAACTGTGAAGATTTCTTGTGTTTGAGGCCAGCAGCTATGCCTTTTTCAATGGCAGAGGATATGATGGCAGCAACATCTGGGATTATTGCAGGAGTTGGCTGAAACCCTAGAAACCCCAGGGAGGAAGAAGCCTGATCTGCCTCTGGGGAGGGGCCTGCCCCATCCACTGAGTCATCTCCACTATGAGGAGAATCAAAAAACCCTGTACCATCCCCTATCTGAGAAGGGGAAGCTCGATCAGATAGAGAATCCTCTGAATCAGAAGAAAGATCCACAGGAGGAGGGCTACCAGGAGGGACAGGAATCACCTGGAATGGATGAGGGCTCTCTCTGCCATCCTGTGTGCGCTTGCTAGAAGCTGACTTGTGCGACGAGGACTTGAGTTGCCTCTTTCCCCCTTTTTTTGCTGCCCTAGGAGCCTTTGCCAAGGGCTCCTCAGCTGCCTCAGCTACTACCCTTTTTCTTGAAGGCTGAGCTGATGAAGAGCCAGCAATACGGCTCTCTGGTGGAGAGAGCTGGGGGGAGATTACTGCCCCATCTCCTGTGCTGGAAGCCATCATTAGAAGTCAAGCAGAAACAGCTACCCTCAAGGTAAATGCTGATAAATGAGCTCCGTTACTGACTGTTGGCTTCAAAATGGCGCTCGCTGCTCTTCACACCAAATTCAATTGTCACACACTTCTGCTGGCTTGAAATGGTGCCTGCTGCAATCTCTGAGGGAAACAGTCAGCGATCTTCCTGAGGACTTTGCAGACACAGCGCTATATTTCTGACAATAATCGCAGGGTTTCCATCCTTGGGCTTGTCACTGGGGCAACCTCCAGCAATCCAATCGAAAGAGAAGTGTCGGATCCGCTCCGCTGCCTAATAGGAGCCTCCAACAATCACTGTAAGGAAAAAAAAGCCTCCGTCGCTTTGAAACGGCTGTTCCAGCCGCACGGCTAGCTCCGCAGCGGACAAAGCCCCTTGCTGAATATAAGCACTCCCTCTTCCTGCAAGATCTTAAGAATGGCAGGGGTTGAAATATTAAAGTTTTAGAAATAGCCAATTAGTAAGAAAGAGCAATTTAATCAGAGAAATACAACTACACATCCAGCCCAAAACTGGCTGAGTCTAAAGCTGGGGAGGAACAGCACAGAGGATGGTTTTATAATCTGTAGACTCAGCCTTATTGGTTACTGGATGGAGTTAACCCTATCTGACTGCTGTCTCCACCAATCATGGAGAATACAACTGCAGGTCTCTTGAATTATGGAAGAGTTTCTTCTGGAACTACTATTGATCACTTTCCTAGAAACGTTATATGAATTTGATCACATGCACAGATTTCCAAAGTGAAAGGAGGGTTTCTTCAATAAAGAACTTTAGGCAATGGGAACTCATCCCTCTTGCACTGAACAACCCTCTTAAATGTATGGCTAGATCTGTCTTAGTGGATTGAATATGATAGCAAGAAATAAGGAATAGAAAGAAAGAATGAAGGAAAAGTGCTAATTTCTGCTAATTTCATCCCATATATTGAGCTCTACAAGACAAAAAGAATCCAAAATAATAGGACAAATAATTGTTATGATGCAAATATAACTAAGCAAGTCTTTGTTCTCTGTACTGCCTCAATGCAATTGGCACCGGAAATGGACTTCAAGTGGGTCTTGCACACTGGCAGCTGAGGTGGCGCAGTGGTTAGAGTGCATTACTGCAGGTTACTTCAGTTGACTGCTAGCTGCAGTACGGCAGTTCAAATCCACAGGCTCAAAGTTGACTCAGTTTTCCATCCTTCCAAGGTGGGTAAAATGAGGACCCAGATTGTTGGGGGCAATATGCTGACTCTATAAAACCACTACTTCTTTGTTTTGCTTTATCATAGAAAAGCAAGAAACAACTAATCATGTTTTTTAATGTTATTTCTAAGGCTAAGATATTTCAAGTCATTATGTCAGCAATATATTAAGGATTATGATGAAGCTTTGTTTTGCAAGGACAATTTCCTGAATTTCCACATCTTTATATATCACTCCTTCTTCCCCTTTTCAAATGAAGTACAATAAAATATGGGCATATACATGAGGCTGTTTGCATAAGTCTATGTATTTCAACATGTAACTTATAATAGGTGAATGGTGACAGAATAGCAGCTTTCCTGACATATTTTATGATATTTGAACTAGAATAGCTTATATTTATTATTTCTTTAAATTCAAAACTTTAACTATTTAGTTGCATAAGATTTTCTGGACAGAAAACTGTACAAATTTGCACATTTTCACATGTGATTGTGGCGGTACCATTTGTTCAACTGAAGGATAGAATTTTTCTTTTTTTTCTTTTCTCATTAAAATTGCTTTTGCAACTTGAATGGCAGAATGAAGTTATAAAAGTAACTCTAACATTCATGATACTGGATCTGGATAGACAAGCATAAAGCAGACCTTTAAGCATCCCATAAAAGATTGGTTTTCTACAGCTGCAAGCTCAAAATGAATTGGATGCTTTTTTTTAAACAAAAAAGGTCTGTTCGGCTTCAGTCTTGCAGAAATACTACAACCATGCTCTGTCAATCCCTTGAATTTGAAAAAAAAGAGATACAGTTAGGAACCCAGTTTCTTAAAACTATTCAGAATCGCAACCATAACAGAATGGCTGTTGTTCCAAAAGGTGGTCCTTGAAATATTATCAACTTTCTAAAAAATAGATTCCTAAACCTTGTCCCAACATTTGAGAAGAAAACATGTAATCCAATGAGTCAGAAATTGCTGTTTTCCAAAGGACCAAAAACAATAACATATAACCTTCTCGCATATATGATGGATTTTAACAGACAACCCTTTTCAATTGGCTCTTTCTGTACATACACATTGCATCTCCCACATGCAATGTGGGAGATATTCTGGGATCCTCTGGGAAAGCTTTAGCAGGCTTGGATAAATCTTAGAAAAGAGAAGGCCTTTTTCTCAGGTGTCTGGGAGTAGGTCTGTCAATGCCCTGGGCTACTCACACAGAACTATGGGAGCAACTTATGCAAAATTCCTATTTGAGAACCAGAATAAGGCCAACTGAAAGCAGAAAATTTGTAAAAGAAGAAAGAAGGAAGGAGAAGAAGAGTGGAAGAGATTATGAAAATACAAATGCAAATACAGAAATACTTGTCCAGCAAATACACATGCATAATACTCATTTACACTGTGCAAAAAACAAATCCCTTTAAATCTAGGAGTTTAAATTTAAACTCCTTGGATTTTCCTTTCAGAGAATTACAGGGAGGAGTCATTTAGGACATCAAATGCAATACCCTATTAAGGATAGGAATCTAAATTAAAGCATCCCTTGTAGATAGCTAAACAGCTTTCTATGAAAACATGCAGTGAAGACAAGCCTTCATCTTCCTAGATGATTGCTGGCTGCCAGCAGTTTGGCAGTTCAATTCTCACTGACTCAAGATTGACTCAGCCTTCCATCCTTCTGAGGTCAGTAAAATGAGGACCCAGATTATTGGGGGCAATAGGCTGACTCTGTAAACCACTTAGAGAGGACTGTAAAGCAGAGGTGGGTTGCTCCCGATTTGGCCTAGTTCGGCCGAACCAGTAGTGGCAGCAGCAGGAGGCTCCGCCCCCCTGCCCGGACGCTTTTTTTAAAACCCAAATCACACTTGATTTATACTAAGTCAGTGACTGACTACAACTCCAATATTCTTTCCATGCATGATACTTCCAAACCAGGTATCTCCTATCTTGTATCTGACTTTTTCACTAACAAGTTATCAAAATTAGCAAGTAGCTATTACAGGTGATAGCCAGTTAGTTAATAGATCAGATCTATTAGTTTATAGAAACAATTCCAAACAAACCAAACATACATGAGAAATGAGTTCTGGCTGCAAGAACACTGGTGCTATAAGCTTCGTTTCCCCATGCTTCCAGTGTTGCATATTTTAGTGTTCTCTAGATGTTTGCCTCCCCAAGACTCAGAACCCATTTCCATTGGCAATACTAGTTAGGATTAAGACATGAAATAAAAATCAATTGGAAGGCATCTAGTTGCTTACTCTTCCCTAGTCAATAGGAAATAGGCCATTTCCTTTGCCAATAACATATACTATAGGAGAACATCATGGAATTCTAAAAGCAAAGAAAGAAAGAAGAACCTTGTCCCATCTAATTTATAGTCTCAATTTCAAAAGATGAAGGGGTGATGGTAATAACAGCAAGAATGATCAAACATATTTAGATATTCTAAGGAATAGAAGGTTTGGGGAATAAAGAAAAGTTAGTAGTCTCTGCTTCTTGGAGTAAGAAAAGTGGTTTTGTGCACCTATTCTGAGAGGAAATTTTAGGCATAAAGTTGTAGCATATATACAGTGTGAAGTGTTACTACTATTTATACTACTTTGGTAAGACCACACTTGGAATATTGTATCCAGTTTTAGTATAGTTCAGAGAAGAGCAACAAACATTAGGGGAGTAAGGCCAAAACATATGAACGGTTGCAGGAACTGGTCTAATGAAAAGACAGACTAGGGGTGACTTGTTAACAGTTTTCCAATATTTAAGGGGCTGTCAGAGAAGAGAAGATCAATCCAAAGCATGTGAGGGCAGGACAAGAAGTAATGGACAGAAATTTATCAGGGAGAGATCCAATCACTAAGGCAAAAGTCCTGACAATGAGAGCAATTAATCAGTGGAAATGACTTGCTTCCTTTGAGAACAGGTTGGATGGTCATTTGTCTGACATGTTTTAGGGTCTCCTGCTTGACCAGGGTATTGGACTAGAAGACCTCCATAGTCCCTTCCAACTCAGCTATTCTGTGTTCTGCATTTCTACTATGTCCTGGATTTTTCTGATAATTTAATATTCCGCTGATATCTTAGCTAAAAAACTACAAGGAAAGCATTCCATTAATACCAATAAGTAAATCAAGACCAAATGCACTTTCTTGAAATCAATCATAACTGAGGAAAGTGGGGGAGGCAAAAACATCTTTTCTCAGATTGTTTCAAAACAATACTCTGTACTGGCTGGGTTAATATTTCCAGCTGTTTTTTCAACTGCCTAGCAAGGCAAAAAAGAAATAACTTTAATTGCAACCTTGATATCCTGGCCGACAGTGTTGCCAAAGCAAATGTTATGCAAAGGTCAGCTTAGAAGAATCTGAGCATCTCAGCTAATTACAGCCACACCAGTAATAAGAAAGGTTTTGCTATTTTGCAATACAGTAAAGAAAAAAGCTGACTTGGCTGATGGTGAAACTCCAAGAATAATTCTATTCTTATAATGCTACTTCTGTTAATTTATGATAATTCTGGGTTTCGGGTCTGCATTGTTATAAAATACACAACAACTGATCAGGAATCACCACATCTGCTACAAACCAGGTTAAGAGAACTACATTGACTCATACTACTAGCCACTTTCAACTATCAGTGAAAAGCTTCACAAACAACTGCAAAGAAAATTTTAGGGATCAATTGCTGTTTTTCATTTCTGAAGTCTCTTTTCTCGACTAAACTCTGAAACCCTACCCTACAGCCCACCATTCTGAAAATATTTCATCACGTGAAAACCATGATAAATGAAAGCATTCAGGGGATTTTACAAAGCACATTGCACAACAGAAGTTATGAAATTTCCATAGCAACAAACAATTTTGGAAAGTGCACTCCAGTGATTAAGATGATTCAACATTTTGGAGTGGAAAACCCTATCAGCTGTAAAAGAAATAATCGTCCGCATGTGTCCAGCAGTTAAGCTGCTCTTATGGACAATAATCTGTTTACTTTTTTATTTACAGTCAAAGGTGGTCTTAAACTACCCAACCAGTTTCATAAACCTGAGTTTGTATGCAACACTTGTGGAGTGAAAGACAAAATGCTAATCAAACCAACACTTTTCTTTTCCTGTACTAAGTCAATGGTCTTTCCTGTGCAAAAGCATGACATCTTATCACCTGAATGGCAGCTATTTTGAACCACCTTGGATATATATTAAGGTAGAATAGAAATATTTCTCTGTATCTGTTTATTTCTTAACAAGCCACCTTCTTCCATACACTGCCTTGGGGCATACAGTAGCTTCCAAGAGCTATTATTTATAATTTAATGACCATATAGCTAATACAATCAAGTATGGAATAAATAAAATATAGTGAGCAGTCTTTTTTTTCAATTCACATCACTATTTTTTTCAAAGAAGATGAAGCAATCAGTGAAACAAATGGCAACTAATGTACAATGTTACAGCATTCAGAATTTTCACATGCTCTACACATGTTGCTCTTAAATTATTTTCTGGACAATATTTTGTTAGTAATAACCAGCTAGCATATTCAGTTATCTAATTTATTATTAATATAAATTTTTATTTCAACCCTCTGAAGTTCAGTTTTGTATGTGTATTTGTCATATGTATTACCAACGGGCAAAAGGCAACATTTTGAAATAAAAATGAATTAAAAATAATAATCCATGTTTCATACTAATTCATTGAGAGAATGGTTCTGAAAACACATGTCAACAAGAATGAGTGTTTACTGAAGTGATTGCCCACTTGTAAAATATTTGCTCAAACTTACTTTGTTCTGATTAGCTGGAGATAAACTTCTAAAAAGTTTTCTGCCCTGTTTGCCAGCATTCCAAATGGTGAAGGATGTCCAATTACTAAGAATTCTCTCCTCTAGAAACAAAACTCGGTGTGTCCAGATAGTTTCCCTGAGAATTGTACAAAACAACAAGAAGAAGGAAAACAAGATTTAACATTATTTAGACACAAAAAGGTTCAAAGAGACAACAGGTTAGAATTCTTAAAATGTATCTCAGGAAAATTTTAGATCATGCTGTTTCAAATGTAATTTTGCAATAAAACACAACATAAATACCAATTTCCCCTCTTTTGGGCTTCAAAATAAGGACTAGGGCTTATTTTGGGGTGATGTCTCTCCCTCCGATATATGGGAGACCCACTTCTTCTGCTTGCTCAGGGCCAGGAGGCCCTGTGGTATCCCAGTGCTGCCGCTTCAAGGCAGGAGGGTGGAGCTAATCCTCACACCACACACTGGCTTACCTCAGGGCCCCTGCAACCAGGCCACCCAAGCCCCAATACCTGCCTCACCTTGTGGCATCAGTTCCAACAGCCCTGTCCAGCAGGACCTTGCATGGCTGCCGACCCACTTCTGCCTGCTTCCAACTGCAATGGAGCAAGAGGTCAAGCGACATACTGCTGCCATGGCCACAAGGCAGTTCTTGGGGCATGTATGGCCTGGCTACAGAGGCCCTGAGGTAAGCCAGTGGCCCTCGGCTACCTTATGTTGGTTACACCATGAGCAATTAGACAGAATGTGTGAGCGACCAGCTTCACAGGTGCTTAAGTAGGGCTTATTTTGGGAGTATGGCTTATATTAGATACATGTGTAAAATATATTAGGTCTTATTTTGGATAGGTCTTATTTTCGGGAAAACAGGGTACATGCTGTATATGTGTGAGTTGTCTATGTATATACATACATAATATATATACATTTGTGTATATATGTGTATGTATATTCTTTTGTCTATTAGGTATTGCCCAGATAGAAGTGCTTAATAATATTATTTCTATACTGCATTTACTTGCTTTTACAAGTAAAATAGAGTTCAAGCAGTAAGTGGAACAACCTAAACTTTGCCCCCCCAAAGTTTGAAAATTGGGGAATTGGGTAGGTTTATTTTTTTTTTCACTCGATGTATTTGTCATAATATTTTCTTTCTTTGTTTATATTTTATCACATGAAGATATAGTCAGAAGCATGATCAATTAAGTGTTTTACATTTACATCACTTTACAGGATTATCACTCAAAATGTAAATAGACAGAACCCTATTAGACATGTAAAAAATATTGCATAAGATTTTGCTGCAGGTCATCACCAATATTACATTGTCACTTAAGTAGCTGACCAGGCTTCCCCTATGTAGCACTTTTTGATATTCGACAAATTGTTTGCAATGTTCAAGAAACAAAACAGCATACTTTTTCACATTTAACAGTCTGAAACTTCAGTAGCATGGCAACAATATTTGTAATCAATATTCTCAGCATACACTTCTGCATGACAATTAAAATTAATTTCCCTTTCTTGCTACAAACACTTGAAAGAAGGACAGAGACCTCTTCACAATAAATAAAATACTGACAATATAAAAGCCAAAAACAACATGCAGCATCATTAGTGAAGTTGTGACCTTGGTGCTACTGCTACTGCTAAATTCTAAGTTTAATAATAAATTCTACAAACCGGCAGATGTCTTTTTATTCAAGTGTGTTTTTATGTCTGAACTTTCAAAATAAAATTCCATTATGTCATATATAAACATAAGATAACATAAGCAAATGCTTAGATCTATCTGAAATGTTGAATCCATATGGCTTTGGAATTGTAACAAGGAAACATCTGCAAAGGGAGAAAATGGGTCAGGATTATCAATTTTAACTGCCCTCAACAAATTTGGGGGTGGGATTTTTTTTATTTTATTTTTTGCATTTAGTTCCTTTCAACAAAATAAAATCAGTTCTGTTTGGCTTTCAATAACTTTCTTGTTTTGTTTGGGCTCATTTCATACCATCTCAGAGACCTCTTTATCATAATTACAATTTGTTTATTTTCTTAATCAATCATTCCCATAATAAATGCAATATTTCAAAGTGAAATTGTCTAGGGCAGGGGTGTCAAACTGTGGGCGGTGCTTATCTCTGTTTTAAAGCCGAAGAGCCAGTGCTATCCAAAGACGTCTCTGTGGCATATGGCCAGCATGATTAAACATCCAAGGTGTACAGAATGCTGTTATCCTCCACCAAAGGTGATTCCTATTTTTCTACTTGCATTTTTACATGCTTTCGAACTGCTAGATTGGCAGAAGCTGGGACAAGTAACAGGAGCTCACTCCGTTACCCAGCGCTAGGGATTCACCAAAGTGCCAATCTTCTGATCGACAAGCTCAGTGTCTTAGCCACTGAGTCACTGCATCCCACATAGACCCAGGCTACAAAGGCTATCACAGAAAGATATTTACAGATATGGTTGGTGTTCTACTCAAATTTTCATCCTATTCTCCTTAACCTAATAGCTGAGATCATCTCTAAGTTGTCCTAGGAAAGCGCTAAGACTGTAAAGTTGAACAGAGTTAGTTCAGGATTTCACAGTGTGTGAGATAGGACTATATATACTATGTGACCTAAGCAAATAACTAGTCATTAAATGCAATGACAATACTAACAATGTGTTGAAAAAAAGACAACAGAATTACTTCTTGGACTGTAAGTTGTTTTAGAATTCCAAATAATTAATAATGACATTTAAAGAAAGATAAAAACAGAATACATAGAAAGGGAATTAACCTGAAGAGAATTATGGAAAGGAGAAAGAAGAGTAGCTCCCTTATTTCCTGAAATGTCTCTATTTATAGTGTATAAAGTATATTTGACAGTTAAATGCCAAAAAGTTGGGATAAATAGTAAAAGAACATTTTTCTAATAATTGTTTGGAATCCTTCCAAAGGTTGCTCACAGATAGAATCAAAATGCTGGAAGGATAAAACAGAATTCTTATGTCCCTACATTATGAAACTGAAACTTGTCTTGGATATGAAATATGGTTTCTACTGGAAGCATCTGTAAGGAATGGAGAGACCGTATTTCTATCACCCTAAGAGCAACAAAGACATGTCTAAGCTAGATTACTTACTCTTGTCAAGATTCTTTGATTCTTAACAGAAATTTTCTCATTGTTTAAAATTTATTTCTGCTTTAAGAAAAGATTTTGGCTTTTGCCAAACTTCTTGATGTGGGAAAATGGGAATTGGGACAAGACCAAGTAATCAAATTCTTTGACTTTTCACCTAGAGTAAAATGTGTGTAGTACTCTTCTCTTTAGAGACAAAAGTCTAAATATTATACTATCGGCTAGCCAAGCCTATTAAAAATTACTCTCTAGTAATTCAACTCTAAGTAGTTCTCATTATTATCTGTTCAAGTGAATACCTGAACAATACTTTTAAGGTGCAATCTGCACCAAGCACCACTACTCCTGCAGGCAAAAAGTAGCTGGAGGAAGCAGCACAGACTAATCAAAAGGCTCTTCTCCCTATGCCACGTCCTAATCAGGTTGGGAGCTGCCAGGGGTTGGCTTATTATCATGAAAATACAAATTCACTGTTCCCATAGAGAGAAGTTTGGCCCTTAAGGAATTGGGTGCCTAAATGAGATGAGGTAAGCAAGAAAATATCTATCTAAATTTGCATCCTGGCCCTCACATGCTCTTTTCTGCGAAGGTTAAGTCAGAAAGTCTGTACCACGAAGCTTTATCTTGGGAATATTTTCGTAGCTTCAGGTTGTGTCATAAGGACAAACAGTGGGTGGATCTTCAGTTCTTGCGGAGAAGTGTGTGACTGAGCCTTCAGGCTAATTACATGATAATTACAGATGTTCTGTGAAAACCTGTAATGAGTGCATCTTAATGTTACTAATATTGGTAAAATATGTTGCTTAAGGAGTGTCAAAAGACAGAGATGATTTGGGGGTTTCCCCTTAGGGTTTCCGGTTCACCTAGGTTGTCTTGTACACTGAGAGCTGTTCCCAGGGCCAGTAGCTGGGATTCCTGCCTTGGGGGATAAGGGAATGCCATTTTCCCAGACTCCCAGAGCCAACACAGGTGCAAGGAACTGCAGCAACTTGCAAGCAGCAATTAAGGAACTGTTTGAAACAATATGAAACTAAAAGCAGTTCTTAAAAAGTTACATAAACCACCTCCAGAGAAGATTCTCACTGGTTAATTTCAATTTTCACACGAATTTCATAGCTAGAAGCAACGGCAATGCGTCATGAGGACCAGTTGGAATGCCAAACTGGGGCTCCACAGCTCATAATCCTGATGCAAAGTAACTTTAAATTGTAGTAAAAGGATAAGATTTATTTTTGTAAGGCCCTGAAATTCTTGTATTCTTTTAATAATTTTGATGATTAGAACCAAACCAAGAAGAATCAGAACACACTTTTATTATATTTCTGTTGGCTTATTACACTTACTTTTTGTAGTGAAATCACATCAAAATTTAAAAAAAATATGAACATCAAATCCGCTCCTTTTATAAATGGAACTGGAAAAATAAGGATATATGCCCCATCAAATCTTTTTATTAACAAAATACTCAAAATCAGATAGGAATGAAATGCAAAGCAAGGGAATTAAATCTTTTTCTTGAGATTACTAATAAAATAAAAACTCTCTATTGATAATCCAAACTCTAATATGGCACCACCCTAGTCTTAAGGTACAAACACTCCAGTTAAAAAAACTAGAAAAAGATGTAGAATGAAAGTTTTTTTTAAAAAAATTATGTCCTCTAATCTATTTAGAAGACATATAACAAATTTCAAATGTTTCAAATTCAATTTCCTCCTCTATTAAATACCAGAATTGATATATCATGTGGAAAACACAATTATAGGTATATTTTTAATTCGTGGCTTTTGATTCTTCAACATACAACAACTTACTATTAAAATAACCACAGCTGTAGGAATGGAAAAGAAGGTTCAGAAAAGACCCTATAATTATTATTAATTATATGCTAATATATTGTATGCACAGATAGATATGTATATATAAATTATATAGATAAAATATAATGTAGCATACATTATAATGATAATAATGGAAAGCCAGTTTAGTCTAGTG